AATCTAAACTTATATACATAAAATACAGAAATTAATGAGGTGTACATGAAATCTTTCTTGAGATGACTGGAGAACCTGAACATGTCAGTGTGGTTATTTGTAGGCTGTATTGAGTGTTTTCATCACTTTGCTTGCTATCACGCAGACCTATTTGAAATTTGACTAGATTTGTTTCGCTAAGGATTCTTTCGTTAAATTCAACAGCCTCCAACAACAAAAAGAAAAGCAGTACTAACTTTAACACTTTTTTGTGCTAAATATGTTTTGCTACTGGCAGTCATTCTATGATACACAACTTAGCACTGACCCAGGCTTAAAGTGTGGAAAAGCATGGGGCTGTGAAGGTACTGCATGTAGGCCACCAGACGTAAATTACACAACTTAAAAAAAACAAACAGAACTAAGAAGAATACACTACATTATTCATTTTCTGACCCGTTTTTGATACTGAAGTAATTTGTCATTATCAGAGGGAAAGCGGTAAAAATTAAGTTGTGGCTACAACAGTAACAGTTGCATAGATGCATAGATAAACATTACTGACTGACAAACAGATATTGAAATGAAAGTTATTAACGGAGAGTCGTTCAGAGAATTCTGAAGCTCAAAGTGAGTCAATGAAAGCAGAGAATTATATATTTCATGTCATGTTTTAATGATCAGAGATGTAGTCAGGCAGAAGTGGACACTGTTCCTGTGCTCTGTCTTCATGTATGTTTGTTGTTGTATGTTAAGGTCAGCTTACTCTTTAACCTTTGGTTTTTCAGCTGTTTATTGACTCCTTGCATTCAAACAAAAGGCTGAATGAGTCTCAGACAACTGTCAGCATGTTTCCATGGTTTGTGTTTGTGTTCGTTTTTTAGGTTGCAGCCAACACTCCCAGTATGTATTCTCAGGAACTGTTCCAGCTCTCCCAGTATCTACAGGTAACACACTGACACCCACTGGACATATTTGAGAACTACACTAACAATAATGAGTCTGAAATGTGATTGTGCTTCTCCTTATTTTCTTATTTATATAAATATGTACAAACACAGTTAAACTGGTGCTTGCTCACATACAAATAATCACGGTGAGCCATAAGTTCAGGCTTCGGACTGCTCTAAACAGCTGGTTTATGGCTGTTTTTGCACCATCTATATGATGCCATGCAGAGGGATATCCTTCATATAGTTATCAGGCTTGAAGGCTCCACCCACCTGCCGGTCAACCCTTGTGTTTACCAACAGGAGCCAATCAGAAGCAATTGATATGAATTTTTATCTGATAAAAAAATAGATTACATAATGAAAAGCATACATCAGAGGTCATTACTAAAAACCAACTTTCTATAAAGCACAAAGAACTGAAATGAAGAATACATGTTTAAATTATTTCTAAAGGAAGAGTGAAAAAATCTGATTACTGGTTTTGTTTTTATTTTTAATTTTTATATTATCCGTTTTTAGCTACAATCACTTAAGATTGTAGCTAAAAACGGAACCATGTATAATATTATCATAAATGTGGATGCACTGTACCAGAGTTGGCTTAGAACTAATTTGCATCCTCATTCCCTCGGAAGGTTCCAAGCAAAGATTACAATAAACCGCAAAGAAAAAGCAGCTAACTGAAGTTAACTGGTGCACTAATATTAGTGGATAAAAATCAGACATTGTCATAAATAACTGTGTAAGCTTTTGTTTGTGCTGAGTTATTTTTCATCGACGACCTCCCTCTCACTCTCTAGGAGGCCTTACACAGAGAGCAGATGTTGGAGCAGAAGTTAGCCACTCTGCAGCGTCTGTTAGCCACCACTCAGGAGGCCTCAGAGAGCAGCTGGCAGGTAGGAAATACCACGTTTCATTCTTCACAAGTTGAGGAACAAGTGCAGCTGTGATCATGCTTTCTGGCAGCTCAGCATTTAGTCTTTTTAGTAACATATAAGTATAGTGTTTCCCACAAATCACAAATATGAGCACAACAAAATGAGGCACAGCACTTTCATTGGTTATTTAATAATAGAGCCTATATAGAGTTGTGAACTTGGTTGCTCGAGTTTGCAACATCATATCTAACTGCTCATATTTAATCAGGGTCATTTAGTACACTACGCTGCGATTAGTTAAACTAATTTGTGTTGTTTTCATCTATAGATGGTATCTAATGTGATAAGGACTGCTGTAAACTAAGTGTGTGTTTCCTACAGGCTTTGATTGATGAGGACCGTCTTCTCTCCAGGCTGGAGGTGATGGGCAGTCAGTTACAAGCTTACTCTAAGGTATACATACACATAAAAAAATGGCTGCATACTTCTACAATGAATCAAAGCAAAGTTAAAATGATCATCGCATTTTAAAATTCTCTTTCAGTCCCAGACAGAGGAAGGGATCCGTAAGGAACTCTTGGCTCTTCAGGAGGACAAACACAACTACGAGACAACGGCAAAGGAGTCTCTGAGGAGAGTTCTGCAGGAGAAGATTGAGGTGGTCAGGAAGCTGTCAGAGGTGGAGGTACGATACACATGTGTATATGGTATGCACAGAATGAAACTAATTAAAATTTCTAAGCTTAACATTTGGTGCCATCTCTGCTGTTGTGCAGCGCACCCTCAGTAACACCGAGGACGAGTGCACCCACCTGAAGGAGATGTCTGAAAGGAGTCAGGAGGAGCTGAGGGAGCTCGCCAACAAGTACAACGCGGCCGTTAATGAGATCAAAGAGCTCACTGACAAAATTAAGGTAACCGTCGAGGAAAAATTATTTATTTTCCTGCAGCATTACTTTATTTTAGAACAAGTTTTATTTAAATGTGTTTTTGGGAGATATATTTAGAATAAAATTATCTACAAATTCAGTAGAGGGAATCTGTGCTCATTTTAAGCTCATTTTGTGTTTTATCCTTAGACTCTGCTAGAGCAGCTTTGCATTATTTATAGTTCAGAATAATCCTTATTTATCAAAAATGGGAGCTGTGTTTTATGTAGCATATAATCTTTTTTTCTATTTGCTTTCTCCCCATTTCCCTCCTTATTCCACTTTTTTTTTACCCTTGTCTTTGTCCTCTTCTGTTCCTTCCTTTGGCTAACCTCTCCTACGTCCTTTTCTCCTCCTCCAGGCTGCAGAGGGAAGACAAGAGGAGCTCACTCAGCGGGGCGCGACAGAGAAGAGGGAGTTGGAACTACGGATTGAAGAAATGGAGGAGAAGGAGCAGGTTCTCCAGGCTCGCATCGAGGCTCTGCAGGCAGACAATGACTTCACCAATGAGAGGCTCGCTGCCCTGCAGGGTACAAACACACACGCGCGCGCACACTTCAATTCATGTGGCATTACACAGACTTGGACGCTTAATCCAATCATATGGTTGCATAAATCAAAGCTTGATCCCAAAATGTAATAAAAGCAACTGGACAGCAACTTCTCATTCAGGAGGAGCTCAGAGTTGATCTGCTACTTGCAATTAGACATCTGAGTGTATTTAGGCATCCGATTAGGATGTTGGATCTGTTTTGCAATAGTTAACGGAGAAAATGACAAAAAGTGTATTTTGACTAAATTGTGAGGAGGTCATATTACTGTAGTATGAGACAGGTGGCTGGTCAAAACAATTTATAACAAATGAAAGGTCCCCTTTTTACCTGTGCTTTAATAACATGCTCATCCTCTAGTCATAATCCTTTTCGCAGCTTAAAAAATGCCAGCCCTCTCGTGTACTTTGTGGTCCAGTAACTTAGAATATTTATAAACATCATAGCCAATTTCAGTTTTGTACTGAATGACCTGATTAAACTCATGATAGGTTGGATACATTAAATGATGGTTTTTCAGTCACCTGGTGATCAATCTGCATCATCTGCATCTTTACAACTATACACAGAGCAAACACACTGTCCTATTTAACCCGCTGGCATAGTGATCCCTTTACGCCAGTCACTTTAATAACATAGCGCCTCTTGCGCAGGTCAGATCATGTCTTCGACCTGTGCTCGGACTTCCTGTCTGTCAACACTTCTCTCTGCTTTGGTTGTTGTTGTTGTTTACAGTGCGGTTAGAACAGCTACAAGAGAAAAGCATTAAAGAGAACAACAGTCTGGGTGAGTCCACATGTCCTGGGTTTGCGTCATCTGCATCACCGTCTGTTTGTGTATCTCTATCACTTCCTCAGCCTCCACTAATGATGCATGACAGCTTCCTGCATGATTTCCATGTAATTTCCTGTTGCTTGCTGCTCTTATCACTGAACTTCTGTCTGTCACGGGAATCTGGGTGTCTTCTGTTTTCGTCTTGTTTATGGTAGCATGACATCCAGCCTTCGGGTTTCCATTTCCTCTGGTAGTTTATATCTTGGTGCAGGAACTGAAGCGTTCAAATAAGTCCTGAGAGTATTCAGAAAGTGTCATCTTTTTCCACGTTTATAATCAGAAACATAAACACTGAGATAAAATGACATAAATTTAAGTTTTCAAATATTAGGAAGGTTTATAATAATTAGTTTTAGGTGATGTTACTTATAGAAATACGATGTTACACAGCAATATTACTGGGGGGTTAAAAGGAAGTTAAAATAATTTATCAGGAATATATCCAGTTTTGAAAATCAGTGGAGAATATATTGGGCATGGTTGTCAGGCTCAGTTGCAGCCCTCTCCTCTTATACAGACCTATTATATGAAAAGTGGCTGCACATGAGCGCACCCTGCAGCATTATTGACTAACTCATAAGTCACCAGAAATGGGAGCTGTAGGACCAGCATCATTTATGCTTATTACAGTATGAAACATAGCAAATATTTCCAACTTTGTAAAGGTTGTTCTTATTATTCCAGTTATGACTTATTTGAATAAGTAAACAAATAGTAAAGCTTTACACTGCATGTTAAAACAAATTAGGGGATTAAGGCACCGCACACTAGCTGCATCCATCATACAGTATGTGGGTTCTTGTGCAAAAAAACGTTGTGGTCATTTTCCAGAGATTTTTACGGTTCGCTCACCAATAAAGCAGCTCAGTTTTATAGTGTAACTACATATATCTCTACAATGATTCCAGCTGATGTAAGATGTTGCACTAGGCAACGAGAATAGAGGGAATAGAGGCGAGTTCAGAATTGATTGAGCAACTTGAGCAAAAAACTTTCTTTGTTTGTTTCTCAACTCTTCAGCTGTGATTCTTCTGATGCCATTAAGAAATGGAGGGGAAGCTTGATGACGCCCTTAAATGGCAGCTTGAGCTGTTTGGTTTAACTTTGCTGTGAGATAGTGAGAGGAAGAAAAATGTCGTTTGGAGAAAAGTGAGCGAGATAGGATTATTATTATTATTTTTGGTACATTCTGAAACTGGGAGTTGAAATGTGAAAGTGGGTCTCTGACGAACAGGTAAAAAAATATGACGTGAAACTAAGGCGAGTAAATATTTTACCTAAAACAACCAAAGGTTTGCTGATGCTGTGGCTCTGGTGATCTGAACTTTAATTTATGTTAAATTAGTAGTTTTTACCCCTCAGCCGTAAAAGGCTGATGAGGTATTGTTGTCACACCGCCTAAAGCGTTTTCTTTTTAATGATTGTTCAGGGGTACACCTTTCCTTAGGGATTAATAAAGTATTCTGATTCTGATTCTAAAGTCTTTTGAAGCCAAAGTGTTTCATGTGACCTTCAGTTTCAGCTCTGTGTGAAGCCCGTAGGATTTGTACAAGGCTTCATGTCCTTTAAATAGCTCGATGGTCGGTATATCCACTGGTGATAGTGATGGAAGTTTTTTTTCTGGGGCTTTTTGGATAATCTGGGCTGTTTCTCTGGTTTCCAAACTGTCCACTGCTTTGTTTTTCTTCCTGTGGGGGGAAAAGTAGCCTTGGTCACTGATCGACTTCTGGTCATTGAATGCCTGACACTCTGAACATGAATGCTGCGGGTGACTGCCTCACTGCACACCTCGCCACAGTAATCACCTTATGACGGAACCCGCCATCATTTAGACTCTGTGCTCAACATTTCTGGTGACATTTCGACAAAATCGTCTATATCTGATCTGGTCACATGACAGATGTCGTCACTGTCCCCCACGGACCAGTAGAGGAGCTTGTCGAGGACAGAGATTCCACACAGCAGATACGCGAGAGCCAGGAGGAAGACGATGATGAGGAGGATACAGACACCGATGATGGTGCAGTTGGGGAAGATGAAGATGGTGCAGTTGGGGAAGATGGAGATGCTGATGGTAGTTTAATTATCATAATAATAAACTATTTAATTTATATCTAGGCTTGTTTTTTAAAAAGTTTTCCTTCACAGAATTAACAAAACAAATGCTATTGTAATACAAATAATTAGAAAAACATTTAGGGAATAATTTGCTCTTGATATTATTTGGGAGGGGGGGGGGGTTCCCCAGGTTTTTAGATTTTTATTTTTTATTTTTTTTATTTATTCATTTATTTTTTTTAACATTGATCTTTATTTTAGGATACAGACAAACGCTTTCTAATTTAAAAATGCATTTTATTTTTTTAATCACTCCTTTAAACCCTCTTAGTGAGGAACTAGTTTTACCTAGTAATTTATGAGTGCAGAGTGACCTTAATCCCGTTCAAATCTGCCATCTCTAATTACTCCAACCAGGAGATCATGTGCTTGGTTTGGTTTCTGTCCTCTGGCAGGATTCAGGATTCAACTGAACACTGCCTTCTGGGCCAGTCGATCAATGCTTTTTCTGTTCATGGGTTTGCATACTGTGTAATGACACAATATCTCCTAAATTGGTACCCACAGTGGTCCAAAATGTGTTGGATTTTTTCCCCTTTCCGTTTCTTTTTTTAATGAAGTGGGTTAAGATCACAGACACTATCCAAGTTTTTTTTTTTTTTTTAAACAACAGCCAGTTAAACATTCCTGCCACATCATATTACGCATGACTATCCTCCAGTTTTCTTGAAATAACCTATTTCAGACGGTGTTACTTTACTTAAAATGAGCCTCATATTTTGCACATTTAAATGATAACTTGTTTGATCCGAGCCTTGAATTCAGTTTTTGTGATTTGTTAGAATTTTGGGAGTTAAACTGTATCATCTTTTTGATTTCACTTTGTTTTGGTAACGTCTCTACTTAGATGCAAAAATGAGGTGGAATTATTATTATCATTATTATTTCTTCTTCAAAATTCGAGCGGACTTGTGAAAACTGTTGGGCTGGTTAACTCGTTATTTCTTGTGCGTGATGTTGAAATGAAAACTTGCTGGGAGGCTTTGTTTCCTGTCTGCTGTTTGCTTGTCCACATCTTGTCTGATGTGGTATCTGTCCAGAACCTTTGTGTTATAACTTTCTGTCTGAAGAGACCAATTTTGGCTTTAATTTCAGCTCCATCCTTTTATTGTGCATCTATCTGTCCTCATAGTTCTCTGTAAATCGTTCTTTCATGCATTCTACCTGCTTCTACCTGTTTGTCCGTCATGATTTCTGTCTTTGGTTCTACCTGTCTGGTCTAAAACCGGGTTGGGTCTGGAGAGCCAATTCTCCACTGGATCCTGTTCCAGATTTGTCGATCCTTAAGGACAATGTTTTGTGATTCTGCTTATCTAATCCAGAACATTAAGTTTTATGGTCTGCTCTTCAGTGTGCTTATATTGGCTACACAGGCACAAGCACGTGGGATGCAGTAAACCCACTTGTCTTGCAGTTCAATATAATATTGCAATAAAACCAGTTTAGAATCGGGACAGATTAAAAAAAATCAAAATCCAGAAATTCAAAAAAATTGTATCGATCTGCGTTAAATCCATGGCTCAATTTACCCTGGCATTGATAAGCAGAATCAATAAAATCGATAGTATTCATAGTAATGTCAGTTCTCTGTGTTTCTATCAGACAACTGTCATGTTAACAACAGCGGAGGAGACTCGACTAGAAACCAACAATTAATTGACTGTCCGCGTGAGTACAAGCATCCATTTCTGCTGTACACCGAAACACTTTTTCCTCATTATTTCCTTTACTTTCTTCCCACGGAGGCCAAACAATGCCAGGAGAAGCCAAATGAAACTGTCAGAGCGCTTAAGTCATAAAATGAAAAGCACAACATTTAAGTTATACTTAGGCAATTTTTATTTAGTTTTCCTCAGAATTATAAGATCTGGACACTAACATTTAATAACTAAAAACTTCTTCCACTAAATTCCAATAATACCATAATATCCCACTTTGTAATGATTTTAAAAATTCTAAATTTCGAGATGTGATGTAATGAAATCTACATTTTTCTTACTCATTCTTCACATGCCTTAACACATCATCGCATCCTTGGATTTTCCTGGTTTAAAGTTGTTTCTGTTCTTGCTCATTCTTCTTTACTTAACTAGTGAACTGTGATTAAATCTTTTGGATGAAGATTGTTTTTCTTTAATTGGATGTTTCTTCAGAGCAGTTTTATTTTGTGTGAAATAGGCTGGTAAAGAGTATTCTGAGAAAACTGCAAGTGTTCTTTTCATAAAGATGGGCTAAGCAGCATAAACTTTTTAAGGTTGAGTAGTATTAAGCGTAGGATTTAAACCTTAAGCAGCCAAACTGTTTTATGCAGATATAATTGTTTAATGGCTATGTTTGTGTTTTCATGGTTTCAATCAAATGTTCTTTGCTGCTGTGGGTCTTTTAGTTTGTTCACTGCAAAATATCATGTAGTACGAAGTAAAGAATAAAAATAAAGTATGATTTTAAAACAACACAAGAAACAAAACAACATCGATTTCTAGCACAATTTTCTATTATCCTTGCCACACCAAAGGATGATCTCTTAAAGAAAAGTTGTAGATAAGGTTGGGCGATATGTAAAATTTTTCCAGTCCAATAACCGATGATAGGCGATATATTCATGCAGGTGACTTTTTTTATTGGCGGAGCAATGTGATTATGCACAGACTGATTTGCGTGTTTAGAATTTATACGTTTTGTTTGGAGGGAATATTCTACCTTCTTTTCACTGCGGCCACAGTGATGCGGACGCTGCACCGGTCCATCGTGGTGAAGAGAGTGTAAAAGCGAAGCTCTCAATTTACTGGTCGATCTACGTCCCTATCTTCACCTATGGCCACGAGCTGTGGGTAGTGACCGAAAGAACGAGAGCGCGGATACAAGCAGCGGAAATGAGCTTCCTCCGAAGGGTGGCTGGCCTCTCCCTTAGAGATAGGGTGAGAAGTTCAGTCATCCGGGAGGGGCTCAGAGTAGAGCCGCTGCTCCTCCACATTGAAAGGAGCCAGCTGAGGTGGTTCGAGCATCTAACAAGGATGCCTTCTGGGTGAGGTGTTCCGGGCATGTCCCACTGGGAGGAGGCCCCGGGGCAGACCCAGGACACGCTGGAGAGATTATATCTCTCGGCTGGCCTGGGAACTCCTTGGTGTTCCCCCGGATAGGCTGGAGGAGGTGGCTGGGGAGAGGGAGGTCTGGGCTTCTCTGCTTAGGCTGCTGCCCCCACGACCCGGCCCCGGATAAAGCGGAAGAAGATGGATGGTTTTTTTCTGATTAAAAAAACAAACAGTCTATACTACTCTGCAAGAGCGACATCTTGTTTTTCTGTCAGCAGCAGCACATGAAATTTACCTCACTGCAGCTGGCACAGACATGAATGAGCTCTCTTTGTGATTATTCCTAAAATCACAGCACAGCTGTTGTTTTTGACTGTTGTGAATGAAGAGAGCAAATATGTGTTATTGGGAAGGTTAAGTTAAAGTGTTAATACCATTTGTCAGATCATTTGAGCAGGCTTTAGCTGAAAAATTGTGAAACTAGAGGACCCACCTAAGCCTTAATTTCAGTTTTATTTTTCATGGTTCTGTGAGAATAATTAGATTACATTACAAAGCCTGGTGATGTTTCACTGACCAAATGTTCCTGCATATTGAACTCTTTCTTCCTCTTTTTTAAAAAAAGCCCACACATATATATTGTTTGCTTTGATTTCCTTATGGCATCTTTTATTCTTCTTCTCCTGGAGCAGTGTTTTTTCCTGCATGCTGCTTTTATGACTTTTCACTAACATGAAACAGATTTTTTTTTGCTCCCTTCTATTTTTTTTCCCTCGTCTTCCTTCTCTTCTAGTTTCTTCAGTTCACATAACTTTGGAAATTTTACCTTTTTACACATTGACCATGTCTTCACTCATACCAGAAACAGATTGAGTAGCAAGTGTGTGAAAACATTTGAGGAAACATCATCCACTGTGGAATTTTTATTGCTGCTGTACCTTGTCGGTTGATTACATTTACTGTCAGCTGTCAGCCACATTCTGGTGTGGTTTATAATGCACAGATGGAGATTAGGACTTTAGATGAAGCTTTAGTTTTAAGGTCATTTGGAATTGATTGAAGTGAGCTGTGTTAATTTTGTAGTTTAATTTCACATTTATTGTGTGAACAGCTAATAACAGCTGGTAAGCGTAGTTTGGCTTTTTCAAGGGTCTCGATTGCATTAAGTATTTATTTTTTATTAACTTTATTTCCACATTTGAATTCAGTTAGTTTTTGCTGTACAAAAATGTCATTGGATTTATCATACTGAATGTAAGGATACATAAGTGAGATGTCACTGCAGTAGTGATTAATTACTTCAAGCTGTCAGCTGGTTCAGTGTTTTACACGTTTTTTCCAGTCGTCTGATAATTGTGTTAAAATGATTCATCTCTGATTCAGCTGTTCAGTTTGAGAAGTTTGAAATAAAACATTACTTTTTCTGAATTTGTATACTAACACTTTTACTAACCAACTGCTAATCCAGCTGATAATGGTGGCAGTCAGATTTTATTTTCTGACTTATTTAAACTGATTCCTCCTGGTTTTGTTTTTTTTTCTCTCTGCAGCCGTCATAGACCTAAAGAAGACCGTCAGTGATTCACTCCACAAACTGGCCAACTTTGATGGTAAGTTAATAACTCAGTTTCTTTTGGATTTCTTTTGTTTTTTGAGTCCTGATATAGATTCATCCATGAACAAAAGCAACCTAAATGGATTGCTGTTTTTTTAAAACCTGAAATGAAATTTTCACCCTGATGTTTCTGTAGAAGTGATGGACGCCCACTTACAGAACAACCAGACGGCGGGAGATGACATCCTGACCAGCCCTGATCGACTCAAAGGTAGAGAACACACCAGAGTTAGAAATTAGGTTTTATGATATTGTTTTATTTTTTTTAAATGTTCAGTTTTAATGATCCCAAAATTACATTTGATTTAAGTAGAAGTATAAATCTACCTGAACACTGTGCATGTGTTCCAGCTGATTAAAGTAATTTATTGGTTTTGAATTTGATGGCACGAGTAAATGTTGACTGTCAAGTGATTACACTGTAGTTTTTTAGTTAGTCCTGGCTGATGTGCATGTTTGTTTTTGTGTGTACGTCCACAGGGAATCAGATGGATGCCAAAGAGTCAGACATGTCCGACACTCTGAGTCCCAGCAAAGACCGCAGCAGTGACGACACGTCAGGTCAGTGAAAACACCCATACATTCTTGCTCATCGGTTTAAGTCTAATTTTGGCAATTCCAAAATTTGTCTTGTGTTTTCTCATTTTTACTGGAAAGGTTTTTCTTTTCCACCTAATTTCGAATAGCGTTGACATCTGTTTAAAGTTTAGCTGTTCTGTCTCACACTGTCTGCTCTTCAATCTTTAATTAATCATAGAGTAGCTTTACAAATTTCTGAGAATGTTTAGATTTTTTCCTGAGGGTCATAAATGAGTTGCCTGAAAGAGATTTGTGTTATGTATCTTTTAAAATCGCTTGTTCTCTCTAGCAGTTTATTATGTCAGTATCTGATTCGTCTTGAAACTGCTGGAGTATAGATCCTAAAGCAGCCACAGGAGTTTTACGCGTTTTTGTGTGTTTCAGATGGAAACATGAACGACCAAGAGCTGAATGAACCTCAGAACAGAGTAGCTCTGCTCAAAGGTAACTGTGGCCGTGCACCTGTGATCATAAACCCCAAAACACCGGGCCGCCCAGTTTGATTATTGTATTTAACTGACCATTAGGGAGATGTTCAGCTGTGCTGGTCCCTGAAGGGCCTGGTGTTTTTTCCATTTTAGAGTTTGTGTCTACAGACTGTATGAAAGGCAGATGAAGCGAAGCCTGAAGTGCCTTAAACTCTCACCCCTGCTAATGGCCAGCAGGGGGTGCCTTTGGGTGCAATAAGAAGTCTAGGTGTATTAAATATGAGTGGGGGAAAAAGGCCTCATTGCCATGACCTGTGACCTCGGTAAACTATTTCCTGCAGTTTGTGGTCTCAGGCGATATTTTAAATAAGCGCATTTTTTAAAGCTGGGATTGCATTTACTTATGTCTAATATACACATGTAAATCTGAATAACTGAACCAGGACGTCATGGCAACTTCATCCATCTTTTCAATAAAATATCTACTAGCTACTATCTAGTCAGCTGGACACCCCCCACCTCCCCCACCCACTACACTCCTGACTGACTGAATAAAATAGTCCAGTCAGTTATGTTCAGTAAGTTGATATCCACACTGCCACCGTGTGCTCAGTCATTTATTCATATATGTATTTATTGAACAGTGAAGAAGTTAAGTCTGGAAAGTTCCTGTTTTTTGTTTTTTGAATAAAAATACAGATAATTTGTAGACCCTGACTTTGTCATTGAATAATAATAATAATAATAATAATAAATAATGTACTTAACATTTTGTATGTGTCTGTGGTTAGATGAGCTACATCGGGCCGGTCTAGAGCCTGGAGACACGGAGCAGGTCATCCACCATCTCCACAGAGAGCTTCTGGAGGCCCAAGAATTAGCCAACACCGGCAAGCAGAAATGTCTAGAGCTACAAGGTAACAGTGTTCTCACAATGCTGTGGATTATATTTTATAATTAGAATTTTAATTATAATTAATAGCTCGCAAACTTTGTTTGAATTAAAGTTTACCTCATACATTTTTACTACAGTATTGTTGAGTTTGTGAGATTACAGTTCTTGCCCTGCATCGCTCCAATTATACGTTGCATGAAAATATAAAAGAACAGTGGTATAAACATAATGACTGTGTGACTCTTGGTGTGCAGCTCTGTTGGAGGAGGAGAGGAGGAGTAACTCTCAGCTGACTGAGGAGTCGACCAAACAGATCCAGTTCTTGCAGAGTGAGTGAATACAGAGAAAAATATGTACTATAGATTTGTATCAATAAGTATTTAGCTGCCACATCTCACTTCCTATGTGCTTGTGTGTTTTTAGCTCAGCTTGGGAAGCTTCAGGCTGACATGGAGGCACTGAGGGAGCAGAGGGAGAGCACCATCTGTAGCACCAGAGAGGAGCTTTACTCTGCCCAGGAGGAGGTACCTCTTCACCTACTGTTGCTTCCAGTTCTTCATCATAACTCTTCCTCACTTCTCTTCCCTTCTGTCTTGAAACCTCTCTTGGCTAATGTGTAACATGTCAGACTCTTCATGGACTCCAGGGTTTGAGTGGGTCATTAATAACCCTTTAAAAGTTGAAATAGCTAATAACAGCTTAAAAAAAAAAAACTAACTAAAAAAACTGAACTAAAACTAATAAAAGGGAAAATTTTAATTAACTGAATTAAGACAACAAACTGAAACAACATTGTGTGCAATTAAAAATATTCAGGGAATGCCTTTGGGTTTACTCAGTCTGGTTACATTTTTTTAACACACAAGTCCTCAGGAGGCTTTAGTGCATCTTACTAGGGGTGCAACGATACACAAAATTCACCGTTCAGTTCGGTTCAGTTCAATACTTTGGTGTCACACTTCGATACAAAAAAATGTTCATGCCTTTTTAATTTGTCATTTATTAAAATTATAAATATATATTTTAACTCAAAAGTACAGTTTTTAAATTTAATGCTGAAATAACAAAATAAAAAAATAAAAAATCTATCTGAGAAATCACTCATCTTTGGAAAAGAGTTTATTACAGAGAAATGTCTCTTTCCAAAAT